AAAGGGAGGAATGTAGGGCCCCATAAAACCCCAAAGGAGACATTCCCTAAAACATGGCACCCTTCTGGCTTCTCTTCTGGGTCCTAACATTCCCGCCGGCACCATAGTATGGCCTATCAAAATCATCACCCGCCCTTCCGACCAATCAGCCACCGCCCTGCGTACTAACCACCCTCTCCCAGAACTCAGCTCTCTACAAATGTATGCTTCACTCTCAAATAAAGCGGAACTTCTCGGTGAACTGTCAGCTTGGGTCCTGTCATCCTTTCATATTTCCCTTGTTAAATTCCTCACACATCAGCCTGCTTTTCTCTTTGAATTGTTTACACTAGCACCTTTTACCTTTATTAAAAGACCGGCTTTAATGCTGCTAAAAAAATTCATTGTATCTCAAATTTTGTTCCCTAAAGGTCTAATCAGAAACATAACTTAAACAAATTATTTTGTGGTGTTTGACATCACAGTTGTCCTTAACTTATCCTGACATCAAATCTCTAAGTCTTAAGGTAGCTGGTCTCAATTTTCTCATCCATAGAATGGGAATAATGATACTTTGTTAACTAACTGAGACTTTTTCTGAACATAAAATGATTTAAAGCACATGAAAACATTTTGAACAGTACTGTGTAAATGGCAAAGTCCCTCCAGTTACGGATAACTGAAAAATTGTTTTTGTATGAGTTATGCAATATAACCAGTTTCATGCAATCATAAGTTTGCTAGATTGAACAAAGTGTGTTTAGATCTTGTGATCCTTACTTACAGTAATAGCCTGAATAAATAGAAATTTTCTCCATAGCAATTTGGTTAACAGATTTAAAGCTGTATTTTATCTTGGACTGTCTTGGCAATTCCAATACCTTGACCTTTGTTCCTCCATAGGTATTACAGAACATCCTGGACACTGAGAAGGAGTATGCTAAAGAACTTCAGTCTCTCCTTGTTACTTACTTAAGACCCCTGCAGTCCAATAACAAGTAAGATTTTTTATTTTAAACCCTCTACTAAATAAAGCAAGATAATGTCAGCATATGGAGTCATTACTCTTATGTCACTGAATAATTGATTTTGACCTTTAAAAGAATTTCCACAGATCACAGGTTGCCAAGAACATGGTCAGGGCAACAGAAATGATGCAAGATGTTGCTTTTGGAGAGCCTGGCTTTCTTTCTCTTCTGGCTATAGAAGGAGCGAATAGATCTGCATTTCTGCCTATTACAATTTTTATTTTGTACGTTTTTAAAGTGATGTGTCTGGTTTTACCTTACAGAAAAAGGACTCCCTGGTGCTTTTATTCAGAAAGCACATAAACTGGAAATTCTTGTGCTCACTCTGACCTTTGCTTGCCCAGGCAGAACCTCTTTCCCATGCTCTGAGAGTGGAAAGAGCATGGCATTTTGTGAATGGTCATAAGAGCAATTCAAGCCAGTATTTCACCCAGGAAAATGTGAATGATGGAAAGATGTTAAAGTGTTTTTTAAAACAACATGTTCAAACTTTATTTTGGTCTTAGAAATCTGAAGTAATTGTTTAAGGCCTAAATTGAAAACTTATTTTATGTGAAAGAAAAATATTGACTATTCATTTCTTTCTGGTTGTAGGCACAGCATATTTAACAAATAGTGGCTAACTGTGTTTAGCTGCGTTTTTATTTTAATTCACTAAGTTTCACTAGAAATCATGATTTTTTTTAGTGAATAAAAATATTTTATTATTAATATAGACATAAAGCAATATCAAACATCTTCAATACAGCTGGTCTCTTGTTGCCATTTGTGAGATGTTTGCTCTTTGATGTAAAGTTAACTTATTTCTCTACATTTGCAACATGTGTTAAGATATTTACATTTTGAAGAAAATGAATAAATATGGCAAGTGCAAGAATGCATATTTATTCATTTATTTTTATTTTTTTGTACATAAAATAGTTGATTGTACATATCTGTGAAGAATTGAATTGAGTAACGTTGAGATCATGATCTATAAGTCAAATAGAAAATTTAGCAGTCTGCCCATATAATGGAAGGCAAAAAGCCTCCACTTTTGCCTCAGTAAGAGTTTACTTTTATTGGGTAGTTGCCTGAACTATCAACTTCAGGCTTAAGTAAGTTTAGTATATTTCACCATTTTTCTCCCTTTTTAAAAATCGTGTTTTTTTAGGCATAATGTCTTCCTAAGTTTCCCACTTGGTTGTTCTCATGGCACTATGGGAGTCTTACTTCGGTATAAAAGGATTTTGCATTCCTGTGTCGTAAGAGTTTAAACATGATCAACAACAAACTGTTTTTTATTTTTATTTTTTGGTTATTATTATGTGACAAATGAAGTGTTCTGTGCATCATAGTTCTTAGAGCTGAATGGAGCCTTAGTAAATCATTGGGTCTAGTGCCCTAGGAGAAATGACTATCCCCATCGAACAGATAAGAAACTGAAGTCCAGAGAGGTTTTCTGCTTTGCCGATCACACAGCCAGTACATAGCCAGACTGGATCCACTGTGCCTCATGTCACCGAGGGAAATGTGCTTTCTGTTTTCTGGAGGTGACAAGCAGAGGAGGAGAGGGAAACTGAAGTTTCTCCCTGGGAGGGGAGATGGTAAGATTTCAGACGAAGGGAGGACTGATTAGCAATCAAGAACCAGAAAGAGAGGAAAGGAAAAGAGCCAGGGCAGAGGACGTGAGAGACCGGAGTCAGACCTGCACCGTTCCTAAATAAACTCAGAATGCAGCTACAGTAAGTTTTCATGAGTTCTGACTGTCTTGTTGGCCCCAAAGGGATTTGAACAAACCAGACTGTTTATTGTTTGATTCTAAAGGGGCCAAATAAGCCTCCAATTAGGTAAACCCCCGACTCAGGTTCTTGCTACTATGGGAGAGCAACGTTGAGCTGGGGAAGCTGGCTGGCTGAAGGTTTCACTTTTGACACCCATAATAGGGGTTTTCCAGCTTGTGGTTCAAGAGGGCACTATAGCAGAGGAACTAGGAGCTTTTTATACTCTAGGGGTTACTGGCAATGTTTGTTTGGGTCTTCCCTTTTTTTATTAGCAAAAATTATTCTCTTGCAAATGCTCGTCTAGTATCACTATACTCTTAAGGAGAAAGAATATGTAGCAAACACTGTCCTTTTAAGCAAACCTTCCAAAAATTTTTCTCCCCCAAAGTGGATAAGAGCATGGACTCTGGAGCTAAAATGATTTGGTTCACTTTCTGTCTTTGGCATTCACTGACTTTGTGACTTTGGGTGATTTGCTTAACCTCTCTGGGCCTGAGTTTCCTCACCTGCAAAATGGAGACAGCAATAATACTTTCTTCACAGATTTATTGTAAGGTTAAAATGCGTTCTTTTTTGTAAAATGCTTGCATAAGTGCTCGGTGCTGTATGAGTGTTGGATCTTGTTCTTTTTATCACATACTGTTTTGTTAAGGGAAGAATGGATGAGAACATTCTTCATACAGAGGTCCTGGATAAAACCGTTCAGTTTGCCTTTATTTGACTCCACTCCAAAAACAAATAAATAAGTAGAAAATTAGTGCTATTTTCTTCCCTCCTACTTCTTCCCATAAAGATTCCCTCCAGTTGATTTATGAGAATTTTAGTTTAGGAGAAAGCTGATTTTGATATTTTTTCTTATGAATTGGATGAGCATATATCATTTCTTTCAATTAGTTTTCCAGTTCCTCTAGAGGAAAGGGCTCAAAAGTTTTTACGCTTATTTCTAGCCATGATGTATTTTATATATTTAGACACTTAGATATATTAAGCACTGTTATTAATTTACTTACTGCTTTATAAAATACCCGAGTGTTCTTTTTGACCACTCATTTTCTTTAGAATCCATTATTCTTATTATAGAAAAGGGAAATTCAGGAAAGAAGCTTAAGAAAGTTGCCTAAGACCGTAGAGTTGGTGTAAATTAAAAAGCAAAAGTCCAAAATAGGGATTGCTTCCCTTGTATTTTTCAGATATGGGCTAACTATCAGCTAACTAGACTAGAGACAGATAACTAAAGGATCCTCAAGTTCTATTAACTGAAACTACATGTATTTTTTTTTTTTTTTCAGTCTGAGTACTGTGGAGTTTACATCTTTACTGGGAAACTTCGAGGACGTATGCACGTTTCAACAAACACTCTGCCAAGCCTTGGAAGAATGTTCAAAGTATGCATGCCATATTTCTTTTAGGATAGCCAGCAAGGTTGTTGTTTGTGTTTTTGTTTTCCTTTTAACTGCTGCCATAGATAAGGGCGTTTTATATTTATACATTTGTTAAAATTTTGATACATTGTCCCAGAACAAAGTAACAACACAGAGAAAATGCACTAGGTGGTAGTGTCTGCAGCCTCAAACCACTTGTGTATCAGAAGAGTTCTACATCTAGTAAATTATTTCTGACTTTAATTAAAAATTACATCAGTTTACCGTTTCTGGTTAGTATAAGGCACATAAGGTCTTAACTGACCGTGGAGGATGCCTTTGACATCGGTTAGACTTTTTTTTTTTTTTTGTAGATTGCAAATTACTTGGAAAAGTCATTCAGATTACTCATTCAGTTTCACAAGTTTGTTCTCTTTTAATCACTCCTGGTATCGTGTCTACTATATTATATTGAGTTGAAACACATAGAAAATGGGAGAAAAAGGTATATTTTTTGTGTGAACCACAACACATTTTTTTGATAGCTAGCTGGATTGTTGAGGTATTCAACTTCCTACTACAGAGTGAACCGTACTGATCATCAGGCAATATACTTCTGTAGCAAGATTAATTTTCCACGCAGCGTGTCTTGGAGAAGTTGGTGACTTTCATCTCTATGGGGAAATAGGGGTTATTGAATATTTCTTGAGCTTTGTGGGACACAGGTGGCTGTCCATGGTGGAAGATGGAGAGAGCCCACACTAAAGAAACCCTAGGAGCCCCTTCAAATGCCAGTAGGGATCAAGATTATTGATATGGAAGGATATTCACTAAGTGAGAAGGGCAGATTACAAACTAGATTTATAATCTTTATGTTTTCCATTTTATAGAGAAAGTCTAAGGAATATGCCAAAATTGTTATAGTAGATCTCTCCAAATGGTGGGATTCTGAGTAGTTTTTTTCTTTCTTGTGCTTTTCTGCTTTTTCTACAAATGAAAACAGCTGGCTTGTAATTTAAAAAAAATTAATTACAAAAAATCTCCAGGCCACCCTGCCTAGCAACCACCAGGCCACCAAATACTATTCTTTTGTGGTGTGTCATTTTTGGATTTGATTAGTTTTGTTTGTACTTTAACTTCATATAAATTATCCGAAAGTATTTTTAGTGTGCCCAGCTAAATTTTAATGTAAGATTAAAAACAAGCAAACGGGCTGGCCAGTTAGCTCAATTGGTTAGAGCGTGGTGTTATAACACCAAGGTCAAGGGTTTGGATCCCTGTACTGACCAACCACCACCAACTATATATAGATAGCTAAATAAAAGTAAAACAAACAAACAACCCTACCTACTAATTCCAAGTAAGTATCTGACCCTACATATTATAGCTATGTTTGGTGGCTAGCATTTAAAGCAGTGATCAAGAACCTGAATTTCATGGATAAAATGGCTGTAATATAGTTTCTCTTTTAACTTTGCAAAACATTCAAAAGACTTACTGTGCTGCCAATTTTAATTGGAATCAACTTCCTTTACCTCCTGTTTCCTATTTCGTATTCTACGATTCACCTGTTTTGCTTACAGGTTTCCAGAAAACCAACACAGAGTAGGAGGTTGTCTACTGAGTCTCATGCCTCATTTTAAATCTATGTATCTGGCTTACTGTGCAAACCATCCTTCGGCTGTAAACGTGCTCACCCAGCACAGGTAAGTCATTAATATTTCCACTATTAGGCTGTTTTGCAATGAGATCCTTTCTTACGACCACCTTATTTGGAAATCCAAAGTCTCCGGTTGAACTCTTGATTATCCCTATTCATGATGCCAGGAATTGATTCATTGTTACCTAGATCAATCATCATTAATTCATCAAATAATTTATTGCGCACCTACCATGTGCAAGGCCCTGTACTAGCTGATGGGGATATAATAGTGAATAAGGGAGAGAAGGCCCCTCCCTTCATGGAGCATAGGATCTTAGGGAAAATACGGATATTAAATTAAACATTGTAAACATGTTATATTACAAAAGAGTACTTAGTACTGTGAGACTTTGCAAGATGGTATCAAGTTAGTGGGGAGAAAGGTCAGGGAAGGCTTTCCTATAGCAAAATTCTATTTAGATCCAATGGTTTAGCCTTCCCCTGCCCCAGTGAATGTTTTATCTGAGTTGCTGACAAACAGCTAAACTGCCTAGGTTTATCTCTTTTTGCTTTCCCTTGTCTGAGTAGAGGAAATCTCAAGCAGCCATGTGGCTAAAAGGCAGGTATTGGCAGGGAAAGGCAGAAGGAAACCAACACTTACTGTGAGCTGTGGGATAGTACTTTAAGCAAAGGACTCATAATAATTATACATGGATATAAATTGTTTTGGATTCATGAAGAACAATAGAATAGTGTTTCCTTTAAGAATAAGAGTCTTTGCAAGGGACCTAGATAAATGCCACATCTCTCCTACCCTTCCTTAGCCTCCGACTACCCATCCCTGACACATTCGCTTGGGCCAGAAAACTGTATGATAGACTGGAAGTCGCACTTTCACCTGGGAAGTCATTTGCTAGAAATCCAGGTGGGACAATAGCAAGACCAAGATATGGAGACTCTGTTGACTTAACTTGGGGACTAGGTTCAGAATGGACATAGATTCTGGAGGCTGCTCAAGACTGAAGAGTGTTCTTCTCTTAATCTGGCCTGGATTTGAACTCCTAAAGCCACACTAGAACATTAGTTGACACCAACCCTAAGAAGTGGCAGAAATTTTGGTTTTTGTCCTGGTTCATTAGGAGCTTTATTGGTTTTATAGAGTTTTATGTAAGGGCTTTTTAAAGGTTGAATTCAATAGGTCCTACTTGAAGGTCAATTTTATTCCCCTGCTCAAAATTTTGAACTCTTATGGAATAGTGAATATGGAAGTTGGAGTTTAAAGAAAGAGAGGCCACGAACCTGGGATTTTTAGTCAAGTGGCCCAACTGCTTATAGATAACATTAACTAATAATAGCGCTGACAATGTGCCAGGCACATGATGTAAAAGCCCATGAGAGAGTTACTATTATTACCATCTCTGCTTTACAGATAAGACATTGGAAGGTTAGGTTAAGTAATCTGCTCAAGAACTCATAGCTGTTAAGTGGTTGAGCCAGAATCCAGGTCTGTCAGACTTCCAAAAATGTATTTATTGAGGTATATATTTTATCCACAAAGAGAATAATTTAAAGGCAAATTTAAAGAATTATAATGAAATGAGCACCCATGTACCCATTATCCAGCTTAAGCAATAGACCATTACTATTTCCTTTTTTAATAACAGCTTTATTGAGATAATTCACATACCATACAATTCACCCATTGAAAGTGTACAGTAAAATGATTTTTAGTATATTTATAGAGTTGTGAAACTATCACTACAATCAATTTTAGAACATTTTCATCCCTCTCTGAACAAGCCCATACCTGTTAGCGGTCACTCCCCATTTTCCTCCAACCTCACCAGCCCAAGGAAACCACACTAAAATACTTGGATTTGCCTATGCTGGGCGTTTCATTTAAGTAGAATTATATAACATATAGCCTTTTGTGTCTGGTTCTTTTGTTTAGCATGTCTTTGTTGTAGCAGGTGTCAGTACATCATTTTTAAATTGCCAAATAATAATGCATTGTATGGATACCACTGATTGTTCTTCCATTTACCAGTTTATGAATGGTGAATAGTGCTGCTATGAACATTCATGTACAGGTCTTTGTGTGGACATGTTTTCTTCTCTTGGGTAGATACCTAGGAGTTGAATTGCTATATCATGTGGTAACTGTTTTACTTTTAGAATGACTGTTACACTGTTTTCCAAAGTGACTGCACCAATTTATTTTCCCACCAGCAGTGTATGAAGGTTCCTTTTTCCACACCCTCACCATTTGTTGTTGTCAGTATTTTTGATTATAGCCATATTAGTGGTTATGAAGAGGTTTCTCACTGTAATACTGATTTGCATTTTCCGAATGAATAATGATGTTGGGCATCTTTCGTGAACTTATTGGCAATTTGTACATCTTCATTTGGAAAAGCATCTATTCAGATCCTTTGCCTATTTTTAAATTGGGTTATTTGTCTTTTTATTGAGATAAAGTTTACCATTTTAAAGTATATAATTCAGTGGTTTTTAATATATTCACAAAGTTATGCAACCATTACCATTTCTAGTTGCAGAACATTTTTATTACTCCCTAAAGAAAGTCCATACCCTGGGCTGGCTGTTTAGCTCAGTTGGTTAGAGCACAGTGTTATAGCACTAAGGTCCAGGGTTCAGATCTCCATACTGGCCAGCCACCAAAAAAAAAAAAAAAAGCCCCCATACTCATTAATAGTCACTCCACATTTCTCTTATGGATAATGATGTTGAGCATCTCTTCATCTTGCTTATTGGCTATTTAAATATCTTCCTTGGATATATGTCTACTCAAATTCTTTGCCCATTTTTAAGTCAGGTTTTCATCTTTTCATTGTTGAATTACAACAGTTCTTTATATATTCTGGATACTAGACTCTTACCAGATATGTGATTTGCAAAATTTTTCTGCCATTTTGTGGGTTGTCTTTTCACTTTCTTAATGGTGTCCATTGAAGCACAAAAGTTTTAATTTTAAGTTTTAATTTTGGTCCAACATATCTATTTTCTTCTTTTGTTGCCTGTGCTTTTGGTGTTATATCTGAGAAACTATTGCCTAATTCAGGTCATGAAGATTTATGCCTAACTGTTTTCTAAGAGTTTTATCTTTTCCATTTGGGTCTTTAGTCCATTTTGAGTTAATTATTGCATATGGTATGAGGTAGGGGTCCAACTTCATTCTTTTGCATGTGGATGTCCAATTGCCCCAGCACCATTTGTTGATTTCTATTCCTATAAATTTAGGTTGTATTTTATGACCCAGAATTTGATCTATCTTGGTGAATATTTCATGTGAGCTTGAGAGGAACATGTATTTTGCTGTTGTTGAATGAAATATTTTATAAATGTTAATTAGAAGCACTTGATCAATGGTGCTGTTCAGTTCAACTTTATCCTTACTAATTTTTGGCCTGCTGAATCTGTCAATTACTGATAGGGGATGCTGAAGTCTATAACCATAATACTAGATTTATCTATTTCTCCTTTCAGTTCTATCAATTTTTACCTCAAGTATTTTAATGTTCTGTTGTTAGGTACATTCACATTAAGGATTGTTATGTCTTGTTGAAGAATTGGCTCTTTTATTATTATGTAATTTTCCCATTTATGCCTGGTAATTTTCTATGATTTGAAATTTGCTTTTTCTGAAATTAATGTAGCTAGTCCAGTTTTCTTCCAATTAGTGTTAATATATTATATATTTTATCTCTTTACTTTTAATCTATCTGCATCTTGTAGACAACATATAGTTGAGTTCTGGTTTTTATCCATTCTGACTGTCTCTGTCTTTTGATCAGTGTATTTAAACCATTCACATTTAAAGTTATTAATGATATATATTTGGGTTCATATCTACCATGTTTGTAACTGTTTTCTATTCATTAAACTTGTTCTTTGTTTTTTTACCCCTTTTTCTGCCTTCTCTGTTTTTATTAAACAATTTATATGATTTTATTTTCTTTCCTTTCTTAGCATATTATACTTCTTAAAAATTTTTAGTAGTTTCCCTTAAGTTTCTGTTACCTATTTTCAACTAAATCTGACAGCACTTTTACATAACACTATACTATGTCATAGATAGTTCAGGTACCTTATAACAGAGTATTCTTAATTCCTCAATCTCATCTCTTACAACATTTTCATTAATTTCACTTATCCATAAGGTACAATCACCCAATACCCTGTTGCTATTATTACTTTCAATAAACAGTTATCTATTAGATCAATCAAGAATAAGAAAAAAGAAAGATTTTATTTTACCTGCATTTACTATTTTTCTGACACTCTTCCTTTTTTCATGTGGATCCAAGTTTTTCTACCTATATCATTTTCCTTCTGTCTAAAGAGCTTATTTTAGCATTTTTTGTGAAGCAAGTCTTCTGGTGACAATTTTCCACAGTTTTTGTTTGAGAAAGTCTTCATTTAGAATTCTAGGTTGTCATGTTTTCTTTCAACGCTTTAAATATTTCATTCCATTCTGTTCTTGCTTTCATGGTTTCTAATGAGAAATCTGATGTGATTATCCCTATTCTTGTATAGGTAAGATGTTTTTCCCCCTTTGGCTTCTTGCAAGTTTTTCTTTGTCTTTGCTTTTTTCTACAGTTTGAATATGGTATGGCTAGGTGTAGATTTTTTTGCTATTTATTCTGCTTGGTGTTCTCTGAGATACCTGGATCTGTGGCTTGGTATCTGTCATTAATTTTGGAAAATTCTCAGCCCTTATTACTTTAAATATTTCTTCTGCTCCTTTCTTTCTTTCCCATCTGTATTCCCATTGTGCACAAGTTACACCTTTTGTAATTGTTCCATGGTTCTTGGATATTATCTTCCATTTTTAGAATTCTTTTTTCTCTTTACATTTCAGTCTAGGAAATTTCTGTTGGCATAACTTCAAACTCACTGTTTCTTTCCTTAGCTGTGTCCTGTCTATTGATGAGACCATCAAAGGCATTCTTCATTTCTGTTACAGTGTTTTTGATTTCTGTTACTTTAAAAACTCTTTCTTAGAGTTTCCATCTTTCTGTTTACATTACTGATCTCTTACTG